TGATAATTTTCAATCCAGCTTTGGAGCCACATTTGGCCCCCTAATGACAAACTCCCCACCAGGTCACCAGGACATAGATGCTTCTGTCCTACCTGGAAATGTTGGTCTTATGACCAAATTCATTTGACCTGCCACAGTGGAATTTAAGTTCTTACCTTTTGTTTCTGTTTGTTCTAGATAATGAAATGAAAAAAGAATAGCCTGATCAAAGGGCCCTGGTGTTTAATAACCAAGCGTGAACAAAGTTGAGAACAGAAAATAAAACTGTGAAGAAAGTCTTCATAAAAATATTTCTTCAGCCCTAACCGGTTTGGCTCAGCGGGGAGAGCGTCGGCCTGCAGACTGAAGGGTCCCAGGTTCGATCCCAGTCAGGGGCATGTACCTTGGTTGCGGGCACATCCCCAGTGGGAGGTGTACAGGAGGCAGCTGGTCGATGTTTCTTTCTCATCGATGCTTCTAGCTCTCTATCCTTTCCCTTCCTCTCTGTAAAAAATTCAATGAAATATATTTTTAAAAATATATATTTCTTCATCTAAAACTATTTAAAAGTCTGTACATGAGAGCAATGTTAGTTCCACTGGTAGTCCCCCTGCTCAGGGAGAGGGCTATGTGATCATGCTCCTCCCACAGCCCTGGACACTGCCCTCGGCCTGGTGTTCTTTGAAGTTCCCATGTTCCCCTCACCCCTTTGGTAACTAACTTCACTGTGACGAGCTCTGCCCAGATGTCTTCACAAGGACCCCAAGGATTTACCCAATTCAATCCAGTTTATTTTGGCTTCCTATAATATAGTCCAATTGGCGTCACCATCCTAATTTTGTGTTATGGTTTTCATAAATTTTAATCCTCTCTATATTTTAATCCCCACAAGATGACCAATATACATTGGATTTATCATCTATTCTTTCAATTTCTCTTCATTCCTTCTTGGATTTCTGGGATAACATTCTTCTGGTCTGAAGATTCCCTTTAGCATTTCTCTTAGTGCAGGTCTCCTGGTGATGAATTCTCTGTTTTCGTCTAGAAAAATGTTTATTTCACTTTCACATTTGAAGGACACTTTCACTGGATAAACAGTTTCAAGTTGGCATTTTTGTTCTTTTCTTTTGGCATTGTATTGCCTTCTGGCTTTTATTTCTCTTTCCAGAAAATGCTGCTAGTCTGACTGAAGCTCCTTTTAAGGTAATGTGTCTATTTTTTTCTGGATGCGTTTCAGATTTGGGTTTGTAGTAATTTTACAATCATGAGCCTAATTGTGGTTTCTTTTGAAATTTGCAGCAGTTCTTTGATATTTTCCACCAGTTTTGGAATACATGTCTCAGCTATTATCTTTTCAAATATTTCTTCTGCACTATTATCTCTCTCCACTGCTTCTGTGGCTCCAATTAAATGTATGTTGGATCTTTCCCCCATATCCCATGTATCTTTTACGTGACTCTCTGCATTCTTCATCCTTTGGCTTTCTGTACTTCATTCTGACCTATCATCCAGTTAACACTTCCTCGTTTTTATGTCCAATATGTAGTTAAATGCTCTATTGAGACCCTGCATTCTTCTATTGTGGAAGTTCCATTTCATACTTTTATAGACTTCAATGCTCTGGTGAAATTTTCCCTTTTGATGTTTGTTTCTCTTGAACATATTAATCAGATTTAAAAAATCAATTTCTCACAATCCTAATATCTAGGTCAACTATGGGTCAGTTTCTGTTGCCAATTCTTGTTTTTAATTCTGTTTTTTGATATGTCTAGTAATGTCTTATTGAATACACAACATTGCTTATGAAAAATTATAGATGTTCAGGATGACATATATTTTTCCAGAGGGAATTTATCTTATCCTCTAACAAACAGCTGTAGTAAAACAAAAACTGGGCAACTTTAATCTTTGTAAGGCTTTGTACAGCTCTAGCGTATCAACTGAGAGCCTCCTTGGCAGATTCTGAGCCCCAGTTCAGTCTCTTCACCCTCTTGACTGCCCCCACATACCTTTTTCTTGTTATCTGCTTGGCTTTTTAGCCTCTTGTCCACATTCCTTAAGAACATAACAAATGCCTCTAGTTGAAAACCAGAGTATTCTCTACACCCCTCTTCTCCCAGACATCTCGGCTCCTCAAGTCCTGTCTCCCTAGCGTCAATCCTGAACTCCAGTTTGTTCTCCCTGTTTGTGTGAGGCTGCTCAAAGCTCTCCTGGATTCTCTGCCTCTTAGCCTCCACCTTCTGCCCAATTCTCAGCCTTTTCATCCATGCCCCAAATTGGCAAATTTCCTGAATGAAATTTCCACAGAGAATATTGGAGTCATCTTAATGAGATTCTTGCCTTCTGGGATTTGACTCCTCAAGTTTCGATATTTTGGCTGCTCTTTGATGTCTTATAAACATGTATACTTTGTGTTTTATGTGTATGGATTTTCTAGGTACTTTTAATAGGAGACTTGGTCTGCTCTGAGGTACTCCATTATAACCAGAAGTAGGCCAAGCTTCCTATAATAGAAACATAAAATTTTCATCTCTCTGCTTCCATCTTTCTTCTTTTGTCAGGTACAAGAAAATTTGGCTCTTGATCCCTTCTCAGATATGAGAATCTTCTTCTAATACCATTTAAATATCTTATATTTTCATTACTTTAGGGCTAGACCTACCTAGTTCATATTTCTGAATATGTCCAGACCTTCAAGTAGAAAAATGTGGCTGTCGCATCTTTCCTGACAAGTGTTAGTCCAATGTCTGGGAAGACATATTTCCTTCAGCTATATTTTCAAGCTTCAGATTAATCTCTGCTAATTTCAAAATTTCTCTAATTTAGTGAGGTTCTTCCTGCTGTTTAAAATGGAGTTTTCTTACTTATTATGCAAACATTTAGTTGGCTCCAGAAATTTCTTGGTCCTTTACTTTTTGAGCCTGCCAGTTTGTTACAAAATGTCTCAAAATGAGGAAAAATGAGACAGTTCTATATAATTCTGTTCATATGCCCATTCTAGCCTTCTTTTTCTTTTGTGACTCTTTAAAAAAATATCTTTAACTATATTAAGAATCCATCCAGTGAGGCCCATTTATTAAAATCACATTAGGCATTATTAAGTCAATTAAAATATATCATTCAGTAGACATTGTATTGAGCCTAATTTAAAATGCATATGTTGGAGCCATTATGGATCACTGTGTTGTCAGATACAGTGGCTCTTCATCTGTTGCTGAGAATGATGAAACTGGTTTTTGAAAAGTAAAAGCCATCTGCAGCTGCTTTGAAAGTCAACTGACATTTTGTTAATTAGCATTTATTTACAGTAGTTGAATAACAATATGAAACTACAATAAGGAATGAGCAGTTAACATTGAAATAAAAAAAAAAAAAGCCTGTGACATTACGTTTATCGTTTGGCATCTAGTTAAAGACACAAATTCAGGGATGTAGAAGGGGATTCATTGAAGCCTGTTTAAATGTAAAATAAACTAGGGAAAGGAATGAAATCTCGTGAGAGATGAGATGGGTGCCCATGTGACTTTTGGGTCTTTGTAGGGAACAGGAGCAACCAATACTTGATTAACAGTTCATCAAAAGAGGAAGGCGAGAAGAAGTAGATGAAATTGTTTCCTTATTGAGCGGCTTTTTAACACATGTCAGATCTTCTGGACTTTGGCAGCCAGCTGATTCCAAATGACTTTGATGACCAAATTCAGATGCCACATTCAACTCGGGTCCTGAACTGTTACCATCAACCTCTGGCCAGGAAGCAGGCAGAGAATGAGGGGAAAGGGAGGGTCCTGGTTTTATCAGGAACATTTTGCCATATTAAAATTAGGTATCAGGAAAAGATTACACACAGTTGTTATTTCTTACTTGCTTTCTTCCCTCCCTAGACATTAAGGAAGTAAGAATGTCAAAACTGAAAGTGACTAAGTTTGTCATAAAAAACAAACAAACAAAAAAACACTGGTGATAGGTTACCAGAACTCCAGTTAATCTTAAGAGCTGTTATCAATAAACAAATAAATCACATTTTCACCAGAGAGAAGCACATTTGCCACCTCTGTATTCGTCGCTATAATTGGCACCAATGCTAAATGTTTGTTGACAAAGGAGAAAAATATCAATTCTGCTATTTTGTCTTTTAGGGATAGTAACGTGCTTTCTAACATAGAGGTCCCATGTGTCTAAACTCTCATATGGATAAGCAGAGCACAGCTTCTTTCTTTAAAAAAAAAAAAATTATTTTTAAATTGATTTCAGAGAGGAAGGAAGAGGGAGAAAGAGATAGAAACATCAATGATGAGAGAGAATCATTGACCAGCTGCCTCCTGCATGCCCTGTAAAAGGGATCAAGCCCAAAACCCAGGCATGTGCCCTGACCTGGAATCAAACTGGTGACCTCCTGGTTCATAGGTCGACGTTCCACCACCAAACCATGCTGGCTGGGTCCCAGTTTCTTTCTTTAAAATGCTGGAAAGCTGGCTTTGCCTCACATGTACAATACTCTGTATTATTATTTTCTTTCCGGAGAGCGATAAAACATGTTGCCAGAAAACAGCTAATGATTTCCATGATAGTAAGCATGCAAACAGCTATGCATGTATGGAACTAGATACCCATTTTCTCATATCTCAGAGGTTTGGGTGTGATTTTCCCACCCAGCCAGGCTGTGAAGTAGGGTGGGCAATTAGTTATGTGGAAGACTGCCTGACGGTGGTGGGTGGAATCTGCAGTTCCTCCCATCTCAAAATGCTCATGTACAAATTAGGAATACAGATACAGAGCAACAACAACAAAATGCATCAACTTTTTCATTCTCCATTCTTCCACTCTGGTCAAGTGACACTGACCAGCAATGACCAGGAGTTCAAAACTAGTTTTGTAAACCACTCTCCTTCACTGAAAAGCAGTTGATGAGAGACGTTAAGGACCGGTTGCTCAGAGAATTTTCACTCCACTGAAGCCAGTAATTGTAGCTTAAAATGACGTGGTGGCTTTATATTTTAATTATTCATTTTTACTTTTAACAGATATGTTCTGAATCTTCCCACTCCTCATTGGATCAAGTCAAATGAACTATTTCCCTGGCTATGCATGGGGAATGCTAGTAAGTAAAATATGTGTACTATAAAGAATTTCTGTAATTAGCAAATATCCACTAGTTTTCCTAGAGATTTTAGGTGGGGAGATTTAAAAAAAAAAATAACCAGCCAAATGTGCAATGTGATGGCTGAGTACCATTTTCTTTTACTTATTGGATCTCCATTGGTGTTAAAATTCTTCCAGTTACCACTTTTGCTTCAAAGTATGGAAAAGTTGCAGTTTTGATTAAGCATTTCCCTTCTTTACCAGTAACTTTTATTTGAGATCTGCTCTGAACTTGCATACCCTTGTTCTGGTACACAAGAGACCAGTTACTTGGAAATAAATTATCTTTTTTCACGCTGAATGATCAGCCATTTCGTATTTAATCAAAGTGCACCAAGCACTGTAACAAATAGCATCTCCTTTAATGTAATTCAATCCTTCAAGAACCTTGAAAATTGGGCATTATTAGTCCCATCTTATGTACAGGAACTAGGGCTTAAAGAGGTTAAGAGAGGAGCTCAAAGTGACACAGTTAGGAAGCAGCCAATAAAAACAAACCTTATTCTGTGATTCCAGGGACATGGTCTATCACAGGACAATTTATTCATTTAAATGAGACAATCAGGCAGATAGTTGATATTGTTAAGGTGAAGGATAAGTGATGCTCTCATCTCTAAGTTTTTAATTCAGTTTGAGCTGTGCCATTTTTTATTTGAATTGGCCCTCTTTACTCTTAAAAATTAAAAGTAATGCCAAACCTTCCATTACGATTAGAACATTCAGAAGAGGCTCCTTGAGTCTACTATTTCAGCAGTTTATGAGTAAAGTAGGCATATCCACTATTGAGCTTTCAGATTCAGAAGTCAAAGGGGGTAAGAAACCCAGAAAGATCTCTAGAAGTTAACAGGAACTTTCTCATCTTGCCATACATGGTCCATTTCTCCTGCTTTCTCTTCCTACAACATGAACAATGTTTGCATTTTCTTAAGTGTTCCTTTAAAGCATAGGGAGTTAGGATCTTCAGTATTTCAAACCCAGGGAAAACTAGCCCTTTAAGGAAAGAGCAGTTTAGGGGAGGGGGCGGGCTTTGTCACAGAGAGACCTGGCCACTCCCAGGCCATAAGAATAGCCACTAGTAACCTCTGAGCTCCCTTTCCTGATGGTGTTTGCCCTACAGAGTTTTTGCTGAACAAGATAACATTAGCATAATATCTGAGGCAGCAGGAACTGTTTACAGTCAAAGTTATTCCCTTTCTGTCCACTTCTCTGTGTTCGTTCACCTGGAGGCAGCTTATTTTCTATAAGCATTTTCTCCATTGTGGCTCTTTCTGGCCTGGATAGGTAATTTTAGTATTCGTATTATTCATTGTAATTGTGATAAAATACACATAACATAAAATTTACTCTTTTCACAATATTTAAGTGTACAATTCATTGGTATTAAGAACAGTCCCATTTTTAGACAGTCTTCAACACCATCCAGATCCAGAACTTTCTCATCTTCCCAAGCTGAAACTCTGTCTCCATTAAATAGTAACTTCCCATTTCCTCCTCTTCCAGCTCCTGGTAACCACCCTTCTACTTTGTGATTACCTTATATAAATAGAATCATACAGTATTTATCTTTCTGTGACTGCCTTTTTTCACCTAGCATAATGTCCTCAAGGTTCACCCATGTTGTAGCATGTGTCAGAATGTCCTTCCTTTTTAAGGCTGAATAATACTGTATGAACATACCACATCTTGCTTATACATTCATCTGAACAGATCATTTTGATTGTTTGGATGCTTGGGCAAAAATGTAACTGAGACCACCTTCCTTCAAAAAGGACTTCTGTAACTCTTTCTGGTGGTTGGGGAGGAGGAGGAAGAGAGGGGAAGGCAGTGCTGGGTGGACAAAGCTTGGTGGTCCTCCACACCTCCCCCTCCTTTCTATGATCCAGCATTTTGCTTCCTGCCATGTCCTTCTCCATTGGGTGAGTCATTTAAATAGCAATGGCCAAACCCTACGCCTAAGCTTTCACTCCGACATTAAGTTAGGCAATCACCTACTGTGAGGAGAAAGTAAATAATATTTACTATGAGTTTAGAAATCTTCCCTAAGCTTGGATTTTGATGGTTCTGGTTTCTTATGTCTGGGAGACTAGGAGAGACTATGTTGTCAGTCATCTGTTTCTTCTGTCTGTTCCGCTTTCTGTCTCTCCTTTGCCCCTCTTTCTTTTTCCACATTCACGATACTTCCTTCACTGTCATGATATATTTGAATCTGTGTTCTTTTCCTGAAATGGGTGCAAAGAAGCATAGCATTAACCTAACTAAATAATTTTCTATTTCAAAACTCATCCTGAGAATTCTCCCTCCGTGTTCATTGTTTTGTATCTCTGGGTCTCCAAATCTTAGGAGCAAAAGGGTAGTGAACCACTAAATACCACAGTACAGTATTGTGTCGTTCAATGGGAATCCGAAAGAATGGAAAATTTGGTACAAATACAATCCACTTACACCAAACTTCCAGGCTGGTTCTCAGACATAGAATTTTCGAAGAATTCTTTCTGCCTCAAACCCTATAGGTAAAAAGAGCACATGAAAACATCCATCCTTCTCTTTAGAAAATGAAGACATAGAAATCAATCTCAGTTTCTTGCCTTCAGAGAAGTATGAAAAATCACCATTGGAAATGTGTGTTTGTCCGAACCTAGGCAGCTTCACAATTCTCTCTTAAGAAAAGGGAATGAGAGGTTTTGAACAGAAGCTGTTTAAAGCCCAAGTCCCAACGTGTTTTTATAACCAAACTGTCCCTAGAAACGCTTCTACCACAAAGACTATAAAATTTGGTGCCATAAAAATAAATATAGAATTTTAGAGATAGAAGGATCTTGGTCCAAACCTCTAAACAATCGATGCTTCTCTTTTAGTTCACACAATGGAAGATGTAGGTGAACAAGAATAGGCACTGTGGCTCGTGTGGTCCATGGTCATTGAAAGATGCTAGAAATAGGATCAATGTATTTGGGCAGCATGAAGGTGGAGGAAAGAAAGGAAGAGAGAGGAAGGAAGAAGGGGGAAAACACAGAGGGTACAAAAGGGGGGAAGCAGGAAGGTAATATTTATTGCATTTTCCCCCAATAGATATTACCAAAGTAACTAATTAAATTATCTCAACAAACCACTAACAAAGATGTTATGATCCTGGATTTAGAATTGAAAAACTGAAATTCAAAGAACATAAATACATATATTCTTAGCATTGACTTGGAGAGAGGAGGCACAGAATTCCTCTTGAAGGGGACACAGGTGAGAGAAAGGCAGCAGGATGGATATGATGGACACACACTCATCACATGCTTTGACGACAGTCTTGTAATGAGATCACAGCTGTGCCCATGAGTTACACAGACCCTGGATTCATATTGAGCGAAGTTAAGTTCCTCCTTATTTTTCAGATATGGCAAAAGAAAAGGTGATAGTGGGATTTATGATGTTTTCTCTCTACAAGTTCTGTTTAGCACTAATGTCTCCTTTGACCCCTTATCAAATGTGGGTCATAGTAGATTATAGTAACATGGTAGGAAATGGCCTAATACCAGTACACAATGCTAGAAAAGAGAACACCACTTTGATCTAAGCCGTGTTTGTACCCTAAGATGTGAGTTTTGATTATTCTTATTTTAGCTTCCAGAACAATTGGTCTTATGACTGATTGGGCTAATAACTGATTTCAGGAGAAAAGATTCCTAAAATACATTGTATGTGTAATTTATAAGCATGACTTTGTTGACACATTATTTAAATAATTTAGAAACAGCAAAGGGCTCTCAGATTTCACCAGCATCCTTTGTCTGAAAACACACACGTCTCTTTATTGTGTATGTGTGTGTGTGGGGGGGGGGGGGGGGTGCCGGTTGGAGCAGGTTCAAATGTAGTGTTCTGAGGCTTCATGCAGACTTCTCTGGCAAATCATTTAGCGTCTATATGTGTCTGTTTCCTCTGCAATAAGATGAGAAAGCTAGACTGCACTCTGAGACCCATGCCAGGCCCAGCCTTCGAGGCATCTTCATTCCCTGAAAGGTCTGCTTATAGAATGCTCCATTCACTGTTGACTTTTCTGCCCCAGTGCAAAGATTTAAACACAAATCTTCATCCCCATCACCATCCCAGGAACTTTCACAGAGTATCTATTTATTATATGCTAAGAGCTGTATGTATATTATTTCTAATTCACACTATAATCCTAAGGATAGGCAGTATTATCTCTAATATACTGATGGAGCATTGCACTAACTCAAGAATTATTCAGTATTTGGGATTAATTTGGGGATGAATGCTATAGGATATTTTCAAAGCTAATTCACCAAAAAAGGTCTTTGTTTGTTTGGCTGGTTGGGGTTTTTTTTTGTTTGTTTAATTCTTTTTTCTTTAAGGTTGCTTCCTTAGGCTTGACTCAAAAGAGAATAATTATAATTTTCAAATTGATGAAGGTAAATTCTTTTTCAAGGCAGCACCATTCTCACTCCGTTTATCAGGCAATTTCTAAACTTATCTTCCCACAAACAGAAGGAACCACTCCTTCCCTTGTGTCCACTTTGGACTCTGACCATATTTCTGTCCCAGCACCTACAATGCTTTTATCAAACTGAATCATTACATGCCTATCTCCCCTTACCAGATTCTGCCTGTGAGTCCCTACAATAATGTCTTTTGTCTTTATTGGGAGAGAATCTTTTTATCTTTATTGCCCAATCAGTTCAGTAGTGCCTGATATATAGCAGTCACACAAAAAATCATGAATGAATGAATAGAATGTTGATAAATTAGCTTTCATAGAATTATGTAGATTTCAACTATAAGCAAAAATAATCTATGTGTTTTTATCTTTTTTTAAGTATATTTTTAAATGTATGTTTTTATTGATTTCAGAGAGAGGAAGGGAGAGGGAGAGAGAAATAAAAACATGAATGATGAGCAAATCATCAATGAGCTGCCTGCTGTGCACCCCCTAATGGGGATCAAACCTGAAAC